TGCAATTCTACCAGTGCCTATGCATGGTAGAATTTACAATTTTTCCTCCTTTTTTTATTATTAATATCCTATTATCTAAAAAAAAAAAAAAACCAGAATAAAATAAAATAAAAAAAATAAAAAACAAACAATTGGGTTTATCACTTGAACCTTATTAAATTGGGTCCAATGGACTTAAGCCCCGACCCTATTGAACCAAGTCGAATTGACTTAAACCCAGACCAATTAATGTGTTTACAGGTGTTCCTCACTTCTTTTCAGCCTCTCAAATTAATCCTCATTCAGCTCATATTCTCTGATCTTGTTCTCACTTAGAACATATGAAACTCCTCAAAATCTTGATTTCCTCTAGTTTTACAATTCCTCTATTCGCAGCTCTAATAGTTGTGGGATTTGGATAGGCCTTAAAATTTTAACGACATAAAAAAATACCAATAAAAAATATGAAAATAATGTAATTTAAAATTTTAGTAAAACCTATAAATAAATTTAACAAAATTTTAAAAAAATGTTTCATATTTTTGTATCGATAAAAACTGTGATACGTAATTTTCGTGTAAACACAATATAAATATATAAATTTTTAATTTTTTACTTGATATAAATATACGAGTTATTAGATCTATATTTAAATCAGTTTCAGCTTTTGTTTTCTTCTATATGTATATGTATATATATATATATATATGTATGTATGTTTGTGTTTTTGTATACTGCTATTAATTATTAAACAATATTACTTTATTATTTTGATTTAATTCCGAGGACCTCACAATTTGCTTTTAACCCATTAGATTATCACAAACGCAAAGACAACACAAACAAAACCACACATTTGTTATTGTTTTCTTATTTGTTTCGAATACCAAAGCCAGAATCTAGAAACAAAATTTAGCTAGAAATCTCAATGGACTTGACTTCAGGTTTCTTCTCCTCCTCCTTGGGAACAGTCACAGTAAGCACACCATTTTCCATGCTAGCCTTAACCTGATCCATCTTTGCATTTTCGGGCAACCTGAACCTCCTCAGGAACTTGCCACCGCTCCTCTCAACGCGATGCAACTTGTCATTCTTCTCTTCTTGCTCTTTGCTCCTCTCTCCACTTATCTGAAGGATCCTACCTTCCTCAACCTCAACTTTCACCTCTTCTTTCTGCAGACCTGGAAGGTCAGCTTTAAAGACATGTGCTTCCGGGGTCTCTTTCCAATCAACCCTTGCATTGGCAAAAGCTGACACGTGTTGAAGAGGGCACAATGGCAAGTACTGAGCTAAAGAAGCCATCAAAAGGATCCCATGCATCTAGAGAAAATGGATCAAAGACATGCTTCGTCGTTCTCCAAGGATGCTAGGAATGAATGAGTGACATGTTCGAAAACTTTGAAAGCAGATGAAATCTACTGAGTAAGAATAATTAGTGATTTTGCTTCGATCTTTTCTTCGATGGGTCAGAAGTGGAGTGAGCAAAGCTATATATAGATATGGGAAGAGGGTTCTGGTTTCCTTTTTCTTTCCAATAATGGTACAGAGTAGAGACTGCTGGTACTTTCTCTCATTATGTATATATATCAAGGTCGATTAGTTTAAATAAATAAATGGATAGCCATGATTGAATTGGAAGATCATCTCTCATCTCTTTTCTACAAGCTTCTACCACCTTCACATATACCAGTATCTATCCTTTTCAAGTCAACCAACTTCAAAGTCTTTCAATGCCCCCCTGGCCCCTACCCATGGATAAGAAGGAAAACAAAAAACCTGACAGTTTCCCATTTTTTTTTACTATCATTGAAGCTTTGATTCACTTTTATCCAAGTATAAAATTTGAAAGTTGATTTGTAGCACCAAGTGTCATTTCTTCTTGGACCTTTCCAAAATTTGAGAGCTTAACAGAAAATTTGTCATCAGTGATTAATTTCTCTTAATTCCTTGTGGGGCACAAGAAGAGAAGCAGCTTAGATATTATAAAATGAAACAAGCACAGATTTTACAAAGAAATGAGGAAAATAGAGCGAAAGGTAAGAAAAGAGAATGATGAAAGGATGAAAGATGGGAGAGAAGAGAGTGAGGTGAGCTTCTTCAAAGGTTATATCTCAAGCTCCACTTCTTTTAATTTACAATAGTTGTATTAATAGACAATCTTAACCCAAGTTGGGTTAACTAAACTATAGTTACATTATTGTGAATGGTAAAAAGTTAACAATGTTTTGTCGCAGCTTCTTTTTGTAAGTTGACCGATTACTTTAACAGATCGATTTGTCTGTTAAAGTGATAGATGACTATTGACTGGTTGTCTGGGTGTCTGTCTTGGCTTATGCTTCTTGAATATTATTTAGATTGATTAATTTTTCGTTATCCGGATTGAAAGATTAAGGAGAATTAGTTTTGAATTTATTCCAAAGATTCTACCATTCTTGGTACTGGAACAGGAGATTTGATGGATGATCAATTTCTTTCATTTCTGAAATTTTTTTTGATTAGTTCCAGTGCTTCTAGATCTGTTGGGGGAAAATTTGCTCCTGGGTAAGAATATGTCATTTGAATAAGGATTCTTCTGCCACCTGTTTGTGCTGACAATTTTGGATAGCTTGGATTGGATATTTCATTAAGCAAGGATTTTGCATAATCCATCATTGCAATTCTGGATTGAAATTAATATTTGGTAGGGGAAGATAACTCTTGAATTATTTGGTTTAAAAATTCTGGGTTTTCAATGGAATCTTCAAGTTGTGTTCCAATTTGAGGTCCTGTCATTAATTTTTGCATTTCCCAGATTTGGTATGGTTGAGTGAACCTTTCTCTTTAAAAGATTCATAAAAGGCTGGTAATTTTAAAGTGAATGTAGAAAAAGTATTGATCGTTTTTTACAAAATTAATAAATTTGGATTTTATAAAGGTTGGGGATAATTTTAGTTGTAAGAAAGAGAAATTCTGTACAACTATTTAGCCAACTATACCCATTTCGATATTTTTTATATCAAAAGGTTTATGATCCAATTTGAACTTGATTTTTGGATATATTTTTCTTATTACTGGTTTTTCTAGATAGGTGGAAAAATAAAATTCAATTTTTTTTTATAATAAATTTTCTATTTCAAGAAGAATTGAATTATTGATTCGTTGAAATATATCTTTAGGTAAGATAATTGCAATTTTTTCAAATAGTAAAACTTTTTTGAGTTTTACTAATTTTGAAGAGTTCTCTTTTTGTTCAAAATATTCACAGATTTCAAGGAAATTGTTAAATTCCTTGAGACTGTATTGGTTTTCTTCAATTACAAAAAAATTAATATCTTGCTCTTTTAGTAAATTGATTGAACAGATATTTTGAAAAACTAAAATTTCAAAATGAGCTTGATCTTTGGCTTGTTTAGCTAGAGTTTTAGCTAATTTTATCATCCCTTTACGAAAATTGGTTTTACTTTTTGTAATATGGGCTTTTCAAATGATATTCAAAATATTATATAATTCTGGAGTTAAACAAGGATTATAAAAATATTTTATTTTGACGGGAGAGTTTTTGGATTTGAGCAAATTCAAGTTGATAAAATATTTTTATGTTTTAAAATCCATATATTTATTTTTTTGGTTTCTTGTTGCTGATATTGTTACTTTGATAGTTGTTTAAACTAGCTTTTGAAAACCTTTAAAATTAAAGACGGACAATTTTAGATACCTAAAACATGGATCATCGAGAAGATGATTGTATAAACTCAAAAAAAAAATTTATAATCATAATTTGCATATCAAATCATCTTTAAAATCTCAACTTCAAGCTATAAGACATAGTATAAATGAATTAGTAGATTTATCTCTTCCTTTTTTAAACGTTTATTTGTAAAAATTGATAAAATAGAAGATAAAATATATAATATTAGTAAAAAAATAGAACAAAAATCACAAACAAGTGATTTAGGACCTTTGTATTATGAAAATACTATTATGACCCTTAATGATGATAAACCATCATCTTCAAATTCCTTAAACTTCTCTAAACAAGAGAAAATGGATTTTCAATCATACAAAAGTTTGATTGAACATTTAAATTTCAAAATGAAAAAATCTGAAGATCCTAAATAAATGATCGAATATTTGAATATGATTGAACAACTTTATGAAACCCATAAAAAATTTTTAAAAAAATTTTATTATCATTATATGCTTAATTATGATACAACATATGAAAGTAGTGATGATGATCAAGATAACATTCTAGCTACTAATCCAATAATAAAAGATGAAGTAACAATATCTAACACAGATACATAAATGAGGAAAATAGAAAGAGGGGTAAGAAAAGAGAATGATGAAAGGATGAGAGATGGGTGAGGAGAGAGTGAAGTGAGCTTCTTCAAAGGTTATATTTTTTCTTTTGTAAATAAAGGTATATCTACTGATCTTTGTTTAGAATCATTTGCTATTATGTCACCATTGATTTTTTCAATGTGACGCTTAATCCATGGTTGAAATTTTTTGAAAAAAGTAGTTTTATAAATATCATCTTTTTTGATGATTTGCATTTTTGAAATTTGTTCATCTAAAAAGGAATGTGATTCACCTATAACATCTCTAAGAGAGGTCATCTGTTATGTTTTAACCGGAGGTGTTATAGAAGATGTTTCTAATACTTCTTGATTAGAAGTTGCATTCATCATTAAAATATATTCTGTTTCACTCTCAAAAGTATCTGATTCAGATTTAAAAGTTAATTCATAACAAATTTCTTTATTAGATAAGTCTTCTAATAACAAATTTGTTAACTCTGGTAACCTTGTTTTTAGGTTGCCACTATTAAGGAAATAGATCCAAAAATCATAGAAATTTTTGAACCCAAATCCTATGATTCAGAAATCAAACTTAGATTGATGAATCTAAGAGACCTTTCAGTTCCTACTGATTGGTTATTAGAAGAAATTACTGAAGAAAGACCTACACACCACAGAGTCAATTCTCTTGCATCAGGAAACAACCTGTATTTCAAAAATTTTGAAGCTAGTAGTTCTAACAATAATTTAGTTCTACCTTGGTCTGCATCAATTCCATCATTTTCTAACAAAGAAGATGATAGTGAAAGCATTTCTATTGAAGAATCATTCATGACTCATAGAATTGTTTTTCAGGGTTTTCAAGACAAACCAATGTCAACATTCCTATTTTCCCCAGTGATAATAATTAACAGTATATAGGAGAAGAGAAATGCCATACAAATTGCAATTCTCCACTCTATTACTATTTCTAGATACATCATAATGTAGAAAAAGAAAACAGACTATAAATACTCACATCATAAGCTGGTGGAATAACTTTCTGTTCATACTTCAATATGTTCTTCTAAGAACACCTTTGTGAGGACTGTTTGTGATTCAAATGTGGCTTTTACTATCTCCAGTCCCTAAGAGATCAACAGAAACTCAATTTTTGTCAGTTATATACAAACAGTAAACTGAAACAAAGAGAAGAAATATATACAGTGAATAAAGACCTTCTCTAAGTTAATCAGGACGGTCTTCTCCTCAAGAGCGCCAATATCTTTGATATTAAAAGTGTTGAGAATAGTAATGGTGGAGATGGTAGACATTGGTTTCAGCATCAGATTATCCATTACCATATAAGTTTTTTTAGCTTTAACATAGCCCACTTGCTTGCTTCGATTTGGTGCGACCATCAAACTTTTTTGGGGTGAAACAAAGGAACTAGTGCCTGAGAATCCAGGAGGAGACCCTTGAGCATCTACAGACGTCAAATTGATATATTCAGCTATTGGGTACTCATTTCCAAACTTTCTCTTTTTACTAGAAAAGTTATGTAACAATGGAGGCATTTCGATGTTTGATGAAGAAAACATCTTTGGCCTCAAGAGAGAGTCCTTGTCTAGGTTGGATTGGAGATAGTATGGATCAAGGTTTATTACACTTTCATAGACGCTACCAAAGGATCCTGACCCAGCCAGACCATTTTCCCAAAGAAGCCCCATTATGGAACCAAATGGAATCTGTAAGAGCCCAAAGAGGAAATCAACAAAATCCTTTCCAGCCTCAGCAAAAACAACCTTCCTAGAGGTTTTGTCTACAAGAAGTTTCAGAGTAATATCCCTGTTTGTTGTAGCCATTTCAGTCACTGTATACCTGTTAACAGAATGCACTATTGTGGGGAAAAAAGGTTTTGAGTGAAAGAGAGAAACAATGCATATCCTGATGACTAAGAGAGGAAGTTTTCACATACTGCAATGTACACCGTTTCCCCATCCCTTTCACTTTTCCTACCTTTTTTTTTTTTTTTATAATCTTGGAACTCCATTGCATTCCATGTCACAAGAGGAGAGGTTACTGCTGTCAATTCAGCTTGGAAAATATCTCACTAAAGAAGAAAAAGATTGGCTCTTTATTGATTTCTTCGTTATGCGGCAAAGCAATTGAATTATTGTAGCATAAAGCCTTTTCTTTTTGATATTTCTAATGACCCCTGTTCGCATTACTTGTCATTTTTAGCAAAGGTTTATTGAATTATTGTACCATAAAGTTTTGCAGACTTGACATTTCTTTGTCGTGATGCCTGAGCACCTTTAAGTTGAATTGTGTCACAAAAAAGATTGAAGCCCATCTTCATCTGCTTCTCTATATGTGGGGTTGAATATCATGATACTGCAATTAACAAAAGTAAGGCTCATGCCACCGTCTGATGTCTAGCTTTGCAGCGATAAAAGACTTGGAAATAATCAACAGTAAAACATCTGCCTTCAATACGAATTTAAGATGTTTAAGGGACAAGAAGAATCAACTAGAAAACAGATTTTTTTTTTTTTTAATTTACGATTGCAGGTTCTAATCTTCTTTGTAGTTTGTGCAAGATTTGCTACAGATGCATCAGTCGTTGTCGTCCAACTATGAAGCACTGGCAAGCAAATGACACCAAGGCCTTGTTGCTTCCGATTCTTTTTATTTAATTTTATAGTTTACCCATGATCCCCTACTCTTTATACTTAGTTAGTTGAAGAGCAGTTACGCATATGAATTCATTTGAACCCACAATCTTCAAACATGAAAAAAACCTCATGTCAATTGATTAAAACATCAATGGATAAGCAGTGCTCTATCTTAATTCTTACATTTCAACATAATCTATATAAACAACCAAAGTACATTCTTGGAACTGGTAAGGCAAGCAAGCAACTTCTAGTTGTATCTCATCTCTGTTACTGTTGTTAGTTAAGATCTAACAGTATAGCAGCAGCCTTTGATTATCCACTAAACTATTAGCAGTATTGAGGACATTGTCATTGCAAATATGTAGTCAATTAATGGGATGCATTATTTTTAATCAAAGAGTTTAATGTCTTGAATCTTGTTCATTCAATCATCAAAATGATATATAGATTTCATTTGTCCGCAAAATCTTTGAATTTCTAATTTGTCACCTCCTCGTTGTTGGGATATAGTTCACATATGAGTAAAAAATCTCACATAATTAAAAAATTTGAATGAGATGTCCTATATATGCATGAAGGACCTAAGAACCTAATAGCTTAAGCTTTTGTGCTCAAGTGGTATCCAACATGTATGTATGAGCTCTCTGGTATGCTCTCATGGGCTCCAAGTGTGACAAATCTCCCAACAAGTGGTATTAGAACGATGGTTATTTTGAAATATCGATATAAAAGCAGCCCAAGACAGAAGTAAATTCTATTTAAGATCATGGAGGGTGATATAGATTTTATGATAAAATTGACAGCATCAAATTATTCAATTTGAAAGCCTATGATGGAAGATCAAGATCATTTATACTGTAACGATTTGCATGAGCCGGTATTGGTGAGATCATGGAGTGTGATACAGATTTCATGATAAAATTGACAGCATCAAATTATTTAATTTAGAAGCCTATGATGAAAGATCATTTATACTATAAAGATTTGTATGAGCCGGTATTGGATGATTCAGTTAAACCAACAGATATGAAAGATAAAAATTGAAAGAAGCTAGGTAGAAAGATGCTAACTACAATTAAAAAATAGGTTGATATCAGCGTGTTTCATCATGTAACGTATGAGATAGATGTTCATACTGTTTGAGAAAAATTAGCAGCATTGTATGATAGAAAAATATGTATAAATAAAGTTATACTTATTAAAAAGCTTGCAACTTTACAGTACATGGATAGACGATTTATTACAAAGCACCTGAGTGATTTTCAAGATTTATTTAATTAGCTGACTACTATGGAGCTTAAGATTGATGATGAAATGAAGGTATTATTTTTTTTAGGTTCATTGCCGACAGTTAGAATACTCTAGTTGCAACTGTTCTTATTCAGCTCCTGATTACAAGGTAACATTGGAGATGGTAAAAGACAGTATGCTTAATGAAAAAGTTAGGCAAAACGATGTAGACCCTGGGAATCAAGCTCTGGTCACAGAGAACAGGGGTAGAAACATCGACAGAGGTTAAAACTCAAAAGGCCATGGTAAGTCTAAACATAGATTCAAGTCTAAAGATAAAGTAAAGTGTTTTCATTATGGTAAAACAGGTCATATAAAACAACACTATAAAATCTTAAGTAAGAGCAAAAAGATAAGAAAAGTAAGAGTTTTGATGATGACAATGTTACAGTAGTGAATTCATTTAGTTAATTTGATTTATACACATGGTGATTGTAATCATATTGGTGATCCTAGCATAGAGTGGATAGCTGACACAAGAACCGTATATCATTGTGTTTCTAAGAGAGGGTTGTTTACAAATTATAAAGTAGAAGACTTTAGTTGCATCAAGATGAGAAATAAGAGTGTGTCATAAATTGTTAGAATTAGTGATATTATTGTACAAATTAGTACAAACTGCATATTTACTTTAAGGGATGTCAGACACATTTCGAATATTAATGTCCTTGATAAGGAGGAATATGAGAGTAGACAAAAGAATAGGTAGTGAAAGCTTCTCAAAGGATCTATGATAGTTGTAAGAAAAAAATTATGTTGTACAATATATAAGACATTGATGCAATTGAACGATAACCAGATAAATACTATGGAAGATGATGCTTTAGCAAACTTGTAACACAAGAGGCTGGCACACATAAGTGAAAAAAGATTAAAGGTTTAGGTAAGATAGTCTCTTATTTTTTTGACCAAAGGTATATCTCTCGATTTATATTATCATTATTTGTTTGGAAAGCATCGTAGAGGTTTTTTTTGTAAAAGTTCTTAGAGAAAAATAAATAGATTGGAATTGATTTATTCTGACGTATGTGGTCCCATTGACGTTGAGTCATTAGGTGGTGATAGGTATTTTATTACTTTTATTGATGATACTTCACATAAGACTTAGGTGTATGTGTTAAAAAATAAAAGTCAAGTATTATAGTATTTTTAAAAATTTCATGCTATGGTGGAAAGGATGATAAGATTACCCTTGAAGTGTATTTGGACTGATAATGGTAGAGAATACACATCCAAAGACTTTGAAAAGTACTGTTCAAAGTATGAGATCAGGCATGAGATGACAGAACCTGAAACATCGTAACATGATGGTGTAGCTAAAAGGATGAACCGCACCATTGTGAAAAAAATCAAATGTATGTTGAGGATAGTAAAATTACCAAAGTTATTCTAAGGTAAAGCAGTTAACAGTCTTGTTATTTGCTTAATAGATCACCATCAATTCTTTTGGGCTTTAATATTTTAGAAAGAGTGTGGACAAGAAAATATGCTTCATTCTCTTATTTGAAAGTTTTTGGATGTAAAGCATTCATGCTTATGCTGAAAGAGTAGAGGTCAAAGCTTGACAGTAAAATCACACAGTATGTGTTTATAGGATATGGTGATGAAGAATTTGGCTACAGGGTATGAGATTTAGTGAAAAAAATTATCAAAAACAGAGATGTGGTCTTTTATGAAAAAGAAACTTTAACAGACATTGAAAAAAATAAAAAGATTACACGGATTACTGTTAAATGTGATGTTTCAATACCAACAGGTGTTTCATAGGAAAGAGCCACAGATAGTAAAAATGAGTAAGAAACATAACTTGAAGATATGAATGAGCCAGTCATAGTTAGTGATGATCCAGATACAATCAATTTTGGGTAAGAGGAACAATCTTCTCCACTAGAAAATATTGAACAGGGAGAGCTACCTTCGGAATCAGGTGATGTAGAGTCTCAGCCTAGTTGATTTATTAGAGAGCGCATGTCATTTTTTAGGTATCCAAGTTTAAATTTTATTTTAGTTACTAGTGAAAGAGAGTTAGAGAGTTTTTAAGATATGCAGACTACTTCGGATACAGAACATTGATTAAAAGTAATAAAAGATGATATGAAGTCATTCAAAAAAATGAGATGATACTTATGATCTTGTTAAACTTTCAAAAGGGAAAAAATCGTTAAAAAATAAATGGGTATTCAAGTTGAAAAATGATGGTGACAAACTAGTGAGGTACAAAGCTTGATTAGTGGTAAAAGATTTTTTTTCAGAAATTAGGCATCAATTTTGATGAGATTTTCTCTCTAGTTATAGAGATGAGTTTCATTTGAGTGGTACTAAGATTAGCAACTAGTTTGAATCTCGAGCTTAATCAACTTGATTTCAAGACTACATTCTTACATGGTGACTTACAAGAGGACATTTATATGAATCAGTCTAAGGGTTTTGAAGTAAAAAAGAAAGAGCATTTAATTTGTAAACTGAAGAAAAACTTGTATGGCTTGAAACAAGCTCTGCGACAGTAGTATAAAAAGTTTAATTCTTTTATGGTGAACCACCGTTATAAAAAAACTATAACGAATTCTTATGTGTATGTCAAAAATTTTTTTAATGGTAACTTCATTATTCTCTTATTATATGTTGATGATATATTGATTGTGAGACAAGATGCTGGTATGGTTTGCAAGTTGAAAGAATAATTATTTAAGTTTTTTGACATGAAAGATTTAGGTCCAGTAAAGCAGATTCTTGGTATGGACATTATCCGGGATAAAAAAGTTGAAAACCTATGGTTGTCACAGAAAAAATATGTTGAACGAGTGTTTAGTAGATTTAACATGTAACATACTAAATCAGTTAGCAGTTCACTTGCTAACTATTTTCATCTGAGTAAAAAATCTTGTCTGATGTCTAAGGAAGAGTAATTAGCTATGTCTAGTATTCTTTATTCTTCTGCAGTCGATTCTTTAATGTAT